AGTTCACGAGTTTACATGTTTTATCAATCTGCTAGACAAAACATTATTAGTAAAATAGACTGGCGGCCGAATTTTCCATCACGAAATTGGGAGTGCCCGTTTTTAAATAAAATTAGGATCTGAGGTAAATTCAACCTCAATATGTGCTCATCAGCATTGGGGCACTGTCCTGCCTTGGTGATGTTAAAACAGAATTCATGCCTTTAACTAAAAGTTGATGTTAGTTTTCTAAAACGCTCTTTATTGGGACTAATAAGGCGCATCGCTTGCTTCGTTAAATTGGTACCATTTCCTTGGATCATCGTTCCTTTTTGGTGTTTCGAGAATATTCTTGTATGGAGAGATCATCACTTTTATCATTCTTCTTAGCTAGTGGGTCTTTGTTTCAGTTTGATTCCGTTTTACTTAAATGTATCCACAGCTGACTATCCATGCTTAACATTTCTTTTAATTGCAGACAAACTCTGAAGAGGCTGTAAGGCTCATAAGTCTAATATTAGCTTTGTTGCTGCTGCGTAGATGCCAAAATGAGAGTTTAACCTTGGATGCCAGGATCGGAACTCAGTAAGAAGTTGTAGCATTCAGGAATTGCAAGCTTTCAGTCCCATCACTATCTCTAACTGCATTCTCCACAGACCATTCGATTGGGCGAGAAACCAGCAAAGGAGGTGAAGGCGATGATGTCTATGAAACGCAAATTACTTCAAGAGGCAAATGGATCAACACCTATGGTAGAATTGTTTGGACCCTGGCAGGTCGAGGATTATGTGCCTCCAGTGGCTGAAAATGGTATTGTGCCTCGTAACGAACACGGCAATGTGGAACTCTTCAAACCGTGCATGCTGCCCATTGGTTGTGTGCACGTCAGACTGGCAGGTAGGCATAATCCTTTGATTTTAGAGTGCCGTTCAAATAGTTTTGCTCAACTACCTTTGGTAGTTTGATATTGCTATTTGTGCTAGATTTGCACTAAGTTCAGCCATTAGGTCACGCAATGATAAGGTGGTCCGCTTTTGACAATCTGGTCCAGGCATATCACTCACTTAGTGCATTTTTTTGCGATTAAACATGTATTTGGTTAGTTTGTATGCCGCTTGTGGTTTTATAATTAGCGCTCCCAATGGTCACTCTGCATTCCTCGCTGAAGGTCGTTAATGAGTTACTTTCTGTTTTGTGACCTTCGAAGTGGTGTAATAAATTCACTTCACTTCATTGTCATCCACTTCTTTCTTTGGACTTAGTTGAGGTTCTGCATTGGTGAGCGAGTTGCTTGTAAACTAGTGCCAAAGTCGGTTATCTTCGAAGCAGCAACTCTTCATGTCAAATATCTTTTAGAAATAACTGGGTGAGAGTTGATGTACTTGTAAAAACCTATTGCAAATGAATGTACCCAAAGTATTGGTTTGTTGTTAAAATCATACAGAGCTGGTTTTGCTTCACTCCTGGTTTCCAGGTTTAAATTGCGGTCTGCACTATCTCAGTATTTTTTTTCTGCTGGGTTGTTCTGACCCGCCTTTGTCCCACCTTAAACTCATATCTATGCCAAAATAAGTCTTCAAGCCATTGGAAATCCCATTTTGCTATCTCCAAGCTAAATCAGGGTAATTCCAATGGCCTGGGCTTGTTTATTTTCGTTACAAGAGATAGGTGCGTGGGCGATCGACATTAGGTCAATCAATTAATAGTCCGTTCAACCACCTTGTCGTGATCAGGCTATCGGACCACGTGATGGCTAACTCAAACACGTGACGCTGAACTCCTTTAGGTATATGCATCTGGCACTTTTCCGATATTTTGCTGTATTATTTATTCACAGACAAGCAAGATTCTCATTAGCTTTTACCGAATCCACCAATGGGTGTTCTTTAAATTTCCTTATCAGGTGTATTTTGCGTGTTTATCTCAAAAGTCCATATGAGCTATTAGCGGTGCCTATTTTTATCCTCAGTGGTTTGTTTGGATCGAAGACTG